CCCCAAGTCCAACGAGGTCCCTGCACCCAAGGTGGCACATCAAGCTGCCCCCCACACACCTCCCAGCCCTGAGCCCCCTTCCCCTCCCCACCTTTTCTGAATGGTTCATAAATACAGACTTAATTTTTTGGAAAACCAAACAGGTGTGTTTATTGAGAGGTCAGGGAAAGGGTGAAGGGAGGGGCTGTGGTGGGGAAGGGATAGGGCTGCAAGCCAGAGGCCCCTACGAAGGAGGCCTGGGGGAGAGTTACTGGGGTCCTTAAGAGAACTTTTCCCTCAGGGCCTCCTGGATGCGCACCCCAGCCTGATGGCGGGTGGCAGCTGACCTTGGATGCTCAGACGCTTATCTCTCATGGCCAGCATCTGCCCCCAATCCTGGGAGGAAGGCCTCCCCCTTCCTCCCCACAATGTTGTGGAGAACACAACATGCTGCTGCCACCTCAAGGATATTGAGCTTCCAGAGGGCTATTGCGACCCACTTCTCCAGAGGGGTGGTGGGCCACAGGTGAGTGTTGTGTCTCTGGAGGGCGGGGGTGAGCCAGGCACAGAGCTCCAAAAAGGTGGCCTTCCGCATGCAGAAGTTTTGGAGCCACTACTGGTTGTCCCACCACTACATGACCAGCCAGTCCCACCAGTCTGAACTGGTGTTGAGCCTCCAAAAATGCCTCTTCACTGTGGGGTGCAGTTGCCAGAGTGTAGCAGCCGCACCCAGGGAGAGGGTCCCCAGAATGAGCTCGAGCTTGGTCAGAGCCAGGAAGGCAGCTGGAACAAAGTGCTGCAGAAATTGCAGCATGGCCATGTGGGGCCATCACATGCCATGGGGCAGCTCCGGCTCCATGACTCTAAGAGAAAAGCTGTGGCATCCAAAAAAGCAGGGCAGCCACAGCAGGCACTGCGAGAACTTTGTTCTCCCTCGAAGAGATAGGCAAGCATGCAGCAGAAGCAGATAAACGGCTGTCTGGGGAGGGAGGGGTTCTTTTAAGCACATATCTCTGCAAAGCTTTGGCACCAGCACTCGGAAGCAACTGATGACCTAAAGCCCTGGCTGAAGTGGTTCCAGATGGCCTTTTATAAGAGTGTGTGCAATCAGTCTCCATGCTCTCTTTCAAAAAAGCACATTGCTTTTTCGATGCGCTTGTGTGTATGAACACTCTCTTTGGTACTCCAAAAAATGAGGAGTAACGTTAGTTCGGACTAAGGGCTTTAGTCCGAACTAATGCGTCCCAGTGCGCAGTTCCTGGTTCAAATCAGCTGTGATTCGAACTAGCGCACCGGCGAGATCATGTTAATGAAGCGCGGGATATTTAAATCCCCGCTTCATTAACTACTTCCGTCGTCTCCATTTGCATTCCTAATCTAAACTAGGGATGCAGTGTAGACGTACCCTTTCAGAATTCTTTTCAGAAGATTCTCCACACCTTTTTTATTTGGAAAGCTATTTTTAGTTAAAAAACATTCCTCCAGAAGTATGTGGCAATTTCTCCCCCATTACTTTACTTTTGGGCTGCACCAAGTGCAGCCTAGGATCAGCCCTATGAATACACAAAGCTGCTCAGCAGAGTACAGTTGCAGTCTGTAGAATAAAAAAGACCCTAGCATGGACACCTGCTTCATGTTAAGATAAGCAAACTTAGATAGGGTACCCAACTCTTCTGCTGTAGTATGATCCCTATGCTTTTTGGGATTCTCTCCAAGTTCTCCCTTAGTTTTCTCAGCTGCTGGGAGCAGCATCACGAGTAGCTCTGTGAGCTCTCCATGCTAAGGAATGTCAAAGCAGCACAGAAGTCTCTCCAGCCTTCCTCATGCAACAGCAGTCTGCCTGAAGCTGTGTTTCTAGCAGAGCAAAACAGGAGCATTTCAGTGATTTGCTCTTTTTCTTTGTTCCCTAAATGGAGCAGCTCACTCAGCTGTCAGATACTTCCCAGAGCTTTGAAAGGGGTGGGACACATGCTGGCAGGGCACCAGAGATCACAAAACACAATCACAACCATCAGGGCAGGCATTGTGGGATACTGTGGAACAAACGACAGAGTCCACACAACAGAGTCCCTTTGTCAATAATAAAGGGAAGGGAAAAGACAAAAATCTCTCACAGAAGTAGAAATATTTTGTTGCCAAAACTGTGTGTTTTTTCTCACAAAAGTTGCATTGTTGTGTCTATGCTTTCACTGTTTGGTCAATAAAAAGCAGTTTTTGGCAACAAAACATGCCAATATAGACAAGGCCTAAAATATGTAAAAGATTAAGTCCTCAAGCCTGTGTGGTATTTCTTCAGAATTCTGAAGAAATTTATCAAGGCACTGGCTGAACTGTTAACAAAGGTATGTATTCTCACATTAAAACCAAAGTGAATGCCCATATGAGCCCCTTTTTGACTTCATGAGCATAGTATGAAAGAGGTATACACAGAGAGAGGATTGATTTATCCTACACATTTATCTTATGTTGTGTGGTCTTTTACATACCTGTCTGTCTCCAATTTCAGGACTGGAACCTGAGAAAGTAATTTAGTTTGACATAAGGCTTGTGTTCATTTGTCAGTTGTCAATGTATTGCAATTTTACATTATCAGGATGGATCATCCTTGATCGAAGTTCAGTGGAAAAGAGAAAACAGTGGTGGGGGGAATGGTAATACAATTTGCTGTAATGATGTTAGAAAATGCAGTTTGTGATTTTTAAGAGTAAAAAACTAAAGCATCCTTTTCTCTCTGTGTTGTATAAAGGTGGCCCAAAAGGCTGTCTTTGTACTTTTTCTTTCAAAAAATTTGATTTAAAAAAAAATCAGATCATTCCTATCCTAAAAGATGGTAGATGGTTGGAGAACTAGTAGAGCCTGCATATAACCGTGAACCTTAACAGATGAGCCCAGGCAAATCAGTTAACCATGTACATTGTTATACTTTCATATCCTTACTGTTTACTCTTCTCTCCAGATCATTTATGAACAGGTTTTTTTTTTGTGATGGTACCGCCTGGTACGCAGTACTGGCACCTTCAAATGCAGTACCAGCACCTCCAGTCAGAGCTCAACAACTTTTCCCCTGGAGTACTGGCACCTTTTTTTTTTAAACAAAAAAAGCACTGTTTATTAATATGTTGTATAGGATTGGTCCCAGTGTGGACCCTGCGGGACACCAATAGTTACCTCTCTCTCTTCTGAAAACGGACCATTTATTCCTGCCCTTTGTAGTCTATCTTTTAACTAGTCGTCAATTCATGGGAGAACCTTCCCTCATCACATGACAGCTTATTTTGCTTAAGAGCCTTATGGGACCTTGTGAAAAGCTTTCTGGAAATCTAAGTACATCATATCCACTGGATTCCCTTTGTCCACACAAAGCAGGTTTAAAAGTAGTACAAGTCCTCACTTTTAGAATTCACAAAATCAATTGTGAATCAGAGCTAGAATTCACATAATCAATTGTGTGAAGCAGCTGCATTGTTGAGAAGAATAGTCAGTAAAAAAATTTCCTCATCTAGACAAGTGGCCCTAACAGAGAGGAGAAGCCTCTACTACAGATGATATGTTCCAGGTAAATTGTCAGAGCCCTTAAATATGACTTAAATTTTGGTAATATTTTCCTCCATTTTTCTGTTAACAAAATCATCCAGGACCAGCAAACTTGAGTTAAACTTATCCAGAACAGTCACAAAGCTGCTAGCTTGCCCAAAGCCATTTGTACAGCACTTAGCACAAGCTAATCTTGACATGGCCTTTCGGCACTAATGCTCTAGAAATACAATATTCTGAAAGTCCAGTCCTGCATACCCTTTAATTGCCCAAATTGTTTGTCAGATAACTCATTGACTAAATATTACTCAAGTGAATTATGGTTTAGTGAATTCAAGCTATTTAACCTGATTCAAGTTATTTGTTTATTCCCATATGTAGTTGCACACTGAAACTTTGAGTCGTCTAGACTGTATATACAGAGAACCTGCTAGGCAAAACAATTCTAATAAACCTTAGTTTATTTTTCTTATCCTTATCTAAAGAAAAGGTTCTCTTTGTGCAAACAAGAATAATATAATACAATACAATATTAAGAGTATCTTAATCTATGGTAAATGATATGTCATTAAATATAACTTCTTTGATAAAATTTAAGCACTGTGCCAATGGGATAGCTGGGAACAGAACCCAGGAGTCCCAACCTTTAGCCCTGATTCCTACGAAACAGAAAGGTTGACCTTAGTCCCTGAGTCTGCAAACACTGAAGCACCTGAGGAACTTTGCTCATGAGTAGTCCCATTGGGCGCATGTACACTACAACATTATTTTGAAATGTTATTTCAGAATAATTCCTGTAACAACTATTTTGAAATAATGCATCCACATTACAAATCCCCATCAAAATAGCACAGATCTATATTGACATAGCGCATCCACACTGATTGGTGCCTGAAGCGTGTTTAAGGCCCCTTGGAAGCACTCCAGGCAGGGCCTCAGGACAGCAGTCACTTCCTGGAGCTGCTGCCTGAGGCTGTCTATGGCTTGTGCTTAAAGGGGCTCTCCTCTACAGTCGTGTCGCAGACCCTTCTCCATCGCCTACCTCCATGAGGGACAGCAAACTCACACTGCATGCTCTGGTTGCCCTTGCGAATGCCACAACACCCCTACTATGGAGCTGGACTGGCTGCAAAGCAGTCACCAGCTGTTAGACCTGCTGCTGCAACTCCTAGTACAGCTTATGCAGACTGCCCTCATGGCACTGCTTGAGGACAATGATCAGCCTGGAATGGTGACCCAGGCCTGGGAGCCCCTCATTCACCACAGTCTCCCATGGACCTCCCCACAAGGGGCCTCTGCATAGTCCCTGTGTGCCTTTTCTCCCCCACCCCTCCTTTTCCCTGCCTCCCTTCCCCATTCCCTGCTCCCCTACCAACCAAATAAACCAGACTTTTGTTCGAAACAATAAACTCGTTGATTTTTATTTAGGGAATATGGAACTGAGGAGGGACTGGAGAAAGAACTCAGGAGGGGGAAGGAGGGGCTCAGGGACGGGGCTGGGACTGGCACCTGCCTTGGGTGGTCCCGCTGTCTCGTGGACAGGGTCCTCGGTGGCCCAAAGGTGACCAGGAGGAGAAGCTAGGGGACGGGGGCAGGGTGGGTGCAGGGAAGAGTTGGGAAGGAGTAGGTGGGGTGGGAAAAGATGGCTGCTGGACCACTCCATGGTGGTGATAATGTGCTCAATGGTGTTGATGTAAGCCGTTCACATGCTCTCAGGACAGCTGCTCCCAGATGGTGCAGCACAGCTCCCAGTCAGTGCAGTGCTCCTGGTGGTCCTCCTCAAAGTTTCAGTTCAGGGAACCGACATACTCCAGGTGTCCCCTCACCAGGTCATCCTGGAGTCACCTCTGCCATCAGGTCTTGCAGGATCGAGAGGATGGCACTGGAGGTGTTGCACATGCCCCACTTGCAGCTGGTCCATCTGTGAAGAAAAGAATGGGCCAGTCATCCCAGGAGACGGTGTGCGTGAAGCCTAACCCTAATATGTGAAACAATGAAAGGTTTCTATTCAGATAACAGCGAAGTGCTTTGAGCAAAGCCATCTATGGCCTAAGCAGCAGGCATTGTCCTATAGGGGCATGGGCATCCCCGTGCGGCCTTGCTGTGTGTTTCCCTGACCCCATCCTTCTTAGTGGTGGCTTGTGGTGGGAGGATGTTCCACCACGGAGTCTAGAGTAAGGCAGGACTGTGTAGGAACCTCGTGAGAAGAAGCAACTGGTTCCTGTATGGCAGCTTCATGGGGCTGTCTTCTCTGGACTGGTGCTCCATGTACACTGTAGGAACAGGTGTCTACATTTTTGGTTTCCAACATGCATCCATGTGCACAGGCTGCTATGCGATCCCCAGGCTGAGAAGGAGTTCACAGCTCTCTGCAGA